CTGCACTACTTTGGACGGAAGTTGCCCTTCCTCTTTAAGGTGCTTTCAGTTGCCAAGGCACTTTCTATCCAAGCACATCCTGACAAGGTAAGCTTAACTATCGTTGCGAACCGTCAAATGAGTCATCGCTCACTTTGTTTTAAAAGGTGTTGCCTCTTCGCATTTTGTCATTGAGCAAATCGTTTTGTTCGTGTGTCTTATTTCTTCATTCAACCAGTAGTCTCTGTACATATTATTTTCTATGACCAAGGCTGTTGTTTTTAAAAAACTGATAATGCTCCTTCTTTACAAACTTTTGTTGTCTAGGTTTTTCCTCGCAGTATCGCAGCATTCCACGACGACAATTTTTGTCGAACTTTCCTTTTAGGCGTGCTCACCGTTAAGGCATTGTTAATAAGCTAATTTATGTAACTTTCGATTAGCATATGATGATGGCGTTTTTTGTCTCACATCGTGGCGCCGTGCCATCGTAAATTAGGCCTTATTATTGTCCTGTTCTTTGGCAGCTTACTTCATTGTTTAATTGTCTGTAGGTGGCAGAGATTGCTTTGGCTTATTTACCTCGTCTGTAATAGGGATATCTCACCTCATCTTTTTGTTGCCACCTTCTAGAAAATGGCAGCTCGTTTGCATGCTGAACAGCCAGATGTTTACAAAGATGACAACCATAAGCCGGAGATGGCTATTGCACTGACCGACTTCGAGGCATTGCTAGGATTCCGTCCACTTCACCAAATCATCTCCTTCATTCAAGGTGGGTGTGACAACCGAGTCACGTCTTGCACCCAGATTCCTGCTCCGTGTGTGTGTGATCCACAGAAAAGCTTGTAGGCAGGCTTTTATTTTTGGATGAGGCAACTAGTGATATTTGTTTCCTATCCATCTCCCATTATTTTTTGCCCTCTTAAGCAATCTACTGACGTTTTGAGCTGTCTGCGCTGCACTGGCCATTTTCAAAGCAGGCGCTCTTTGTGATACTATAGGCGGAGGAACATCGAAAGTGTCTAAACGTTAAACTTCTTCGACAATCAGACTGCTCTACTAATGAAATGTTAGCTGCTCTGAGTAAAATGCTGCAAATGGTTTTGAGATGGTGCTGATTAACCTCAAATTCTTATCTCATTTTTCCTCCCAACGCAGCTTTCCCCGAATTGGCCGAACTTACCACCTTGAAGTCACCATCCACCACAGATGAAAAGAAGGAGGGGCAACCTCTTTCAATCAAACAACTTTACTCAAATCTGATGAGATCTTCTCCTGAAGAGGTTGAATCGACTATTAAATCTCTTGTGAATCGTTTTACAACTGGTTTAAAG